TTTATTTTGTCACATTTCTAACATGCAGTGTGATTGCTTCTGTTTCAGACGATCGAGGTTGTGAGGAGAGTTTGGTGCTTCTGCGCCGCTCTCTCAAGTCAGCAAACATGGCCTCAGAAGGGAAAAATTTTGAAGGAGGTGTTCCTCATATCTTTGTAATCCTTGGTGCATCTGTAAGTTGTAATTTCCAACTTTCTTTGAAGGAAATGGTTATTGAAAATATCCTTTGCACGTTTAATTATGTACATTTTGTTTGTTTGTTAGGGTGATCTAGCAAAGAAGAAGATTTATCCTACTCTATGGTGGTTGTTCAGGGATAGCCTGCTCCCAAATAACACTGTATTTTATGGCTACGCTCGTTCCAAACTCTCTATTGCTGAAGTGAAGGAAAAATGCCACCAGTACATGAAGGTGTGTTGTTATTCTCTTGCTTCCCTGTGTTATTAGCCTCAGTTTTTACTGTTCTGAATTTGTAATACAGGTAAAACCAGGCGAAGAGTCTCGATATGAAGAATTTTGGACAGTAAACAAGTACTTTGCTGGAAATTATGACAAACGTCAAGACTTTGAGATGCTCAACCAGGAATTGACCAAGTCAGAGGGGAACGCAAGGACAGCAAATCGGCTCTTTTATTTGGCTCTACCTCCATCTGTTTTTCAGCCTGTTACTGTTCACATTCGTAACACATGTATGGGTGAAAAGTAAGTATTTGTATCAGTAGATATTCCTTGTATGTGGATCTTTTTTTATAAAGGCTATAACTACTATTCTATTTTCTTACAGAGGTTGGACCCGTATTATCATTGAAAAACCATTTGGAAAAGACAGTGATAGTTCTCAAGAGCTATCTGACCATCTTGCAAAGTTATTCAAAGAAGAACAACTGTACCGTATTGATCACTACCTGGGGAAAGAAATGGTGCAGAATTTGATGAGTCTGAGGTAACTTGGTTGTGATTTATTTTTATTTTGAATTTTATTGTGAGGTATTTCTTACTAAGCTTTTTTTCTGCAGATTTGGTAACAGAATCTTCAGCCCCACTTGGAACCGAGAATGTGTTGCTTGTGTGCAAATTACATTTAAAGAACCCTTTGGCACTCAAGGACGTGGTGGATACTTTGATGAGTTTGGAATCATCAGGGATGTAATGCAGAACCACTTGCTTCAAATTCTGTGCTTAACAGCCATGGAAAAGCCTGCATCCCTCCATCCAGACGACATTCGAAATGAAAAGGTACTGTCCTCCAATATAGCTCTGCAAGTATATTTTTGCTCTTCGCTCTATATTTTGAAAAGCTCTACAAGTGAAGTTTGCCCAAAACTTTCAGGTCAAGGTTCTTCGCTGCATTAGAGAGCTTACACCTGATGATGTAGTCCTAGGACAATATGTTGGCAATCCTGATGGTAAAGATGACGATGCTCGAAATGGCTATTTGGATGATAAAACTGTACCTGAGGGTTCAACCACTCCTACTTTTGCCCTTGCTGTGTTGTACATCAACAATGAACGTTGGGATGGTGTTCCTTTTATCTTGCGCTGTGGAAAAGGTATGTTCAATTTATTTCTAAAGGTTATCTAAAGATTTGTATTTTTATAATACATTTTTTTTTACTTTTTATTGTATTGTGCCTTAGCTCTTAATGAAAGGAAAGCTGAAGTTCGAGTACAGTACAGAGATGTTCCTGGAGACATATTTAACGGACAGGCCAAACGTAATGAAATGGTCATCAGAGTGCAACCTGGGGAAGCTGTTTATATTAAGTTAATGACAAAAACACCTGGAATGAACTTTGAGATGGAGGAAACAGAGCTTGACTTAAGTTATAATAGCAGATACAAAGTAAGTAAATTATGCTTGTATAACTTTTGAAAATATTTTAAGAATGAAGACAGACACTTCCTAAAAAGTCTTAAATTGTTTAATTTATGCTCCAACAATCTTGAATTGCAGTCTGTAAAAATGCCTGATGCCTACGAACGCCTGATCCTTGATGTGTTTTGTGGATCTCAAATGCACTTTGTGCGCTCTGATGAGTTGTCGGAAGCCTGGCGTATTTTTACACCCCTACTGCATCAAATTGAAACAGAAAAGGTTCCACCCATCCCATACATGTAAGTTCATGTGCAGCTATACCATCTAACTATGATCAATGAAGTCATTTTGCCAAAGTTACAAAACTGACAATTTTTCTTTCCCACTGTTTTAACTAGGTATGGTGGAAGAGGACCAACTGAGGCAGATGAAATGGTGAAGAAACATGGGTTCAAATATTATGGATCTTACAAGTGGGTTCAATCTCAAAAACCTCATTTGTAATTTATGGAATATTCTGTCATGGATGTGGTACATGGACTTAATACTACATTCATGATGACTGCCATAAGTACTACAATATGAAATTCAATTTTACTCTTTTGAAAATCTCTGTACCTTAAGTGTAGACCTCCAATATGGAGGCTATACAATACAGCCATGTTACATTCCTCATTGTTAAAGTTTTATTAGGAATTTCACCCTCAGGGGTGTTTATAAATCTTGTAATAAACTTAAATTATTTAAAGTAAAGATTTCTTTTTTAAATGTCTTTTTGTGCGGAAATGGCCTAAAGTTGTACCTGATGGGAATGTTAACTATTTATATTTTGTTAAATTTTGTGTAATAAGGGTGACCATAGAAGATTTTCATGTGTTAAAACTCCCTTTTACTTAAGGTGAACCGTCCTTTGTATATTGTTGAAGTTTTATGGTCAGTGAAAGAGTGTTCTAAACATCTTTCAACTTCCAACTATAATTATCATCCCTATTTATTTGTCTTGCTACAGTTCCATGGTTCTCATCTACTGTAACTTGATAATATTTCTCATACATCTTTGATCAAGATATTGATTTTTATAGAACATAGATTTGATAGTTATTTGTTATCACCTTGTTGTTATTTAAATGAATTTATACTTTTCTACATCATTTTTGATTCATTTGTGTGTGTTCTCTCAAACCTATATCAACTATTGAAACACTATTCTCGTGTATAGACCTTTTACAGACGTAGCCAAACTAAAATTATAACCCCCCGCCCCTTAGGACCATCACTTGTGTGAGACACATTCATTTGTTTGCAAATTAAGGCTAACTTGTTAATCCTCAAAATTGAGTGTGGCATTTCAATATTGCATTTCCTTTCTGTAACCATGTGCAATTTTTCTCTTTGTATACTGTGATTACTGTGTAATGTATCTTTTAAAACACAGATATTGTATTGTTTTATACCCTTTTCCACAACACTACACTTGAAGGGGGTTTCTTCTTTCTGTGAAAAACTACAATACATAAATCCATTTATGACATGGAAATAAACTTAGATGGACTGGATTCAATGCCTATTTCCTGACTTTTCTCCCGACCCACAGACATGGTCAAGAATGTTAAAAGGTGCCTTTGTAATTCGTCAGAAAAATGAAAGAGAATCAATGAACAATTACAGAGGTTTACCTCATTGCCATATTGAAAAAAAATAAAAGATAGTCAGTTTGTTTAATTGAAATTGAAATGACATTTTACCTCTGCACCGAACAGAAGCCTGATCAGATCATGCCATTCCACTGATTTTGGTTGCAGAGGTGTGATAAGCTGCCGTGTCAAGATGAAATCCCAACCCAAACTGCAAATTTTATTTTAATGTACCTATTTCTGGCTGCACAGTTCCGCCCCAAAACTATCTACAGATGGCATGTTTTCGGTCAGAATTGAGCCTGTGGCCCCAACACAGTAAACAGAGGCCGCTGGGGCGCACGCGGATTGCCTACCCTCCAGGCGCTCTGATCCCCAACACTTCCCCGCTTGTCCGGGATGTGATCCTTTGGGGATGCCTCTGGGGCCGAGGTCGACCAGGCCCCCGGGGACGTCATCCGGGGACCTCCCGAGCACGCCGATGACACTCCCACGACAAACACAATTCGGCTCCAAACGTCGTGTACCTGGGCTGGTGCATATTTCTTAATAGTAGCCAAATATAATTATTATTAATAACAAATCGCAATAATAGTTTATTATCCTGATCATTTCACTATTGTCACATGGCACCATGGAGTCAAGGCATGACTCCATGATGGCACTTCCCTGGCGTTGCCGCCTGGAGCCACACAACGATGCACGGGACGGGAAGCATCCCCAAAGGATCACATCCTGGACAAGCGAGGGGGGTTTGCCTACCCCAGGAGAGAGTCACATCCCGCGACCACGATATGTCGGTGAGTGTGCCGTAATTATTGCTCTCCCCTTTTGCCGTGCCGCGTCCCCTACCCCTTCTCCTCCTCCCCACCGCGCCCCGCGCCTCTATGGAAACGTAAACAAACAATGAAAATCGGCCATATACCGATAATACCTACTCATATAATTGATGATGATAGGGTTTTAACCAGAATTTTAGAGTGGACATCGCCGCTGTTCGATATTAATCGTAAGGTATAGTGCTTGATTGTTTCCGGTCCGGAATATTGAATTGTTCCATTCCGGTTATTGTTGTAGGAGGTTAGTGTTCTCCTGTGCCTCAATGTTTACACGCACAATTAAGTTGTAAGTTTTTTTTTGAGGCCGAGTAAATGATGCCCCGTGATGTCAATAACTTGGTTCACTGTCAGCTTGGTTGAAAAGGTGTTGAATGGGTAGACTCCTCCAATCCATGCAGTATGTTAAATACTGTTGTAGGTCACTTATGCAAATGGGTAAACTGCCAGTGTTTTATCACATATCATATATTTTACTCTATATTATTCTCGTGGAACAGAAAACTTTATTACTTTCTGGTTGGGTGCAAACCGAGTGGTACTATTTGCGTAATCCCCCAAACAATCAATCAATATGCGTTATTGCAGATAATTTGCTGCTGCCCCTTCGTACTTAGTGCTTAGTCCAGTGCCAAAATCAGTTATTTGAAAGACCATGGTCATTTAGAGACGCATGGGGGTGAGAGGCATTTAAAAGTGTATTGTATGAGTAAATTACATGTGATTAATAGTTGATGAGCGCTAAAAGTACCGTTGAATTTGATTGCAGGAACTCGGCCCAGAAATGTTCTTGACATGAGCAAGAGAAGTCTATGGAGTCATTTTACCCAAAAGAATAGGTGAGATGACATGACAGTAACCGCCAACGCTGGTCCAATTTGTCTCTGTACAGACACTATGAGGAGCTTCCTTTCATGTGCATCAAAGAGTGGTTTTTGATGTGTTTTGTGGTGCCTTGGTTCTTTGTTGTTGATTTCAATCCTCCTCTGTCAAAGTCCAGGCTGATTTGTTATCATTGAAAATGTCTTTTAAAAATCTTGACAAGTTGGAAAATTGCTGGAATTGATTTGGATTGGTCGGGCAAACTCCCTTTTCAGTTGCTCTGTATAAATATCATGGTGCCGACCCACTGCAGCAGAGTTCTTAGCCAGTGCGCCTTAGGTAGCCTACCCGCCCATACTTAGAGAGACCAGCTCTTAAAACTCAAGTTTCTGTGAAAAGGAGTGGTTTCTGACATAAGCAAAGGTAGTTTTGTGGTCCCTGGTTCACCCCTATCTATTCAAGTACTCCTCCATCAAAAACCAGACCCATGCCTTTGTAAATTTTGCCAAAAATGAAAAATTTGAAAATCGCTGGAAATGGTAAGGATTGGTCCTTTCAATCGCTGCGTCGAAATTTCACCCCCCGGTCCATTTCAAGTGAGTTACGCCTGTTTTCCTTGGACCGGTTCGCCTGCGAGGTAGGCAGCCCATCGTACGCTGACCGCCAGATTAGACCATTAGACCACCCTGAAAACGCAAGTTTCTGTGGACAGGGGTGGTTTCTGACGGAACCAAAGGTAGTTTTGTGGTCCACTGGGTCACCTCTGCCTCTGCCGTTTTGACTACTTTTCCGTCCAAATCCGGACCCATCACTTTTCGCTAAAAACACGAGGGCTATTTTTGCCTTTGTAAAATTGTCCAAAAATTAAAAACGCCGAAAATATTTGGTATTGGTCAGACTGAATCCTCTTTCAATCTCTGCGGCGAAGTTTTACGGCGTCGGGCCATTTTAAGTGAGATACGCCTGTTCTTTTGTGTTTTTCTTTTTTGTTTTTTTGGACTGGTTTGCCTGCGAGGTAGGCAGCCCATCGTACGTTGACCGCCAGATTCAAAAGACCACCCCTTAAAACTCAAGTTTCTCTGGACAGGGGTGGTTTCTGGCGGAGCCAAAAGTAGTTTTGTGGTCCCCTGGTTCACCCCTGTCGATTCGACTACTTTTCCGTCGAAATCCGGACC